AAGTGGAGCCTTTGGGAAGTGATCAGGGTCTCCCAGGAGTGGAATGAATCTCCTTATAAAAGAGGCCTCAGACCACCCCTCACCCCTTCTGTCATCTGAAGGGGTGGCAAGAAGGTGCTGGTCTAGGAACCAGGTGGCAGACTCTCACCAGACGTTGAATCTGCCAGCACCTTGCTTTTGGACTTGCAGCCACCCAAACTGAGAAACAGATGTGTGTGGTTTACAAGCCGTTCAGCCTCTGGTATTTTGTTACAGCAGCCCAAGTGGAGTTAGAGTTCATTCTTGTTTTTTTCCTCTTCTGTATTTGTAACTCTTTATCAGTTCAAAACCTGTTTTCATTCTCCTTAGTATAGTTACTGATTTTTCTCAACATTCCATTATTTAAACAATCTCGCAACTCCATCAGGCCGCCACTTCACTCAGCCCCCTTCCTGTCTGCCCGCTCCACAGCTGCCCCCTTCCTGGCCGCCCTGTCTATGGCCACCCCTCCCTGGCCACTCCTTTCCTGGCTGCCCCCTCTCTGACTGCCCCCTTCCCAGCTGCCCCTTCCCCAGCCTTGCTGCTCTGCCCCACTCAGTTCTGATGGTACTAGCTGGTTCTGACTCCAGCAGTTGGAGATGGGTCTGCATAGAGACTTGACCGAAATATTTCATTATTCAGAAAAGAAGAGAGAGAAGAAAGTTTTTTTAAATAAATTTAAAGGGAATAAAAATCCAAAATACCAAAAGATGTGAGATGCAGCTAAAGCAGCACTGAGAGGGAAATTTATAGCACTAAATACTCACATTAGAAAAAGGGGGAGTCTCATATCAATAAGCTGGGAGAGCAGGTGCCAGGGTGCCAGCACCTTCACCATGCTGGCCTTGGCCCATCCTGTGCCCAGAACCTTCCAACACAAGAATTGAGAAAAATCTCAGATACAACCATTTGGCCCCTTTCATTACCATGCTGTTTCTTGTATAAATATGTGGCAAACTTTAGAAATTCCTCTTAGAAATGTGAATGGGGTGGTCTGTCTCATTCCTTATGCCCCCGACCTGTACCATTCATTGTCGGCTGTGACCCAGTCAAGCCACCGAGTGCTTTTCCTGACCAGAAACCTCCACGCCAGTGCCCTGCAGAAGCTGCTTGAGTTGCTTTCTCTGTGTGAAACTCAGAGGTGGACGGGCCACTCCACAGTCTGGAGCTGTTACCACTGCCCAGTCTCTGCTGCCTCCTTGTGCTCCACGCCAGCCTTTCAGCAGAGATGGAGTTTGTCTTCCTTTTACAAAAATGGATGAGCCAAGCCCAGATCACACACACCTGCTGTTGTCTTCACTTAGCCCCATTCAAGCTACTTGTGTAAATTGTCCATGCACCTTTTGACCCCTCCTGGAGAATGTTCACCTCTCTTGACTGTGTTTTATCACTCATAGCCTCCTGGTGGGAAGGCCAAATAATGCATTTTCTCTCCATGTTAGAGGGAAAAATTGGAAAGATCTTCCCAAAAGTTATCCAGGTGGAGAGTGGCAGGTGGCTGGTGAGGGGGGAGGATGCCCACCCAGGAAATCTTTTTTTTTGCCTTATTGAGGTGAAGTTCACATAACATAAAATCAAGTTTTAAAATGGCATTTAGTATATTCACAGTATTGTGTCATACCACCTCTATTGAGGTCTAAGATATTTTCATGCCATCAGTTGACCAATAGTAGTAACTTTTTAAAAATGGTAAAATATTTTCATCACCTACGCCTGTAATCCCACCACTTTGGGAGGCTGAAGTGGGTGGATCACTTGAGGTCAGGAGTTTGAGAGCAGTCTGGCCAACATGATGAAACCCCGTCTCTACTAAAAATACAAAAATTAGCGAGGCGTGGTGGTGTGCACCTGTGATCCCAGCTACTTGGGAGGCTGAGGCAGAAGAATTGCTTGAACTGGGGAGGCGGAGGTTGCAGTGAGCCAAGATTGTGCCATTGCACTCTAGCCCAGCCTGGGTGACAGCAAGACGCTGTCTCAAAAAGAGTATTTTCATCATCCCACAAGGAAACCCCATACTATTAGCAGTCACTTATTACCCTTCCCCAGCCCCTGGCAACACCTGTCTGCTCTGTGTCTGTGGATGTGCCTGTCCTGGAAATTTCATAGGAATGGAGTTGTGCAATGTGTGTCCTTTCATGTCTGGCTGCTTTCACTGAGCGTGGTGTGTTCCAGGACCCCCGCGTTGTCGTATGTCAGTGCTTCATTCCTTTTGGTGGCTGGGATTCCAGTGCAGGGATGGGCCAGTTTTACCATTCATCTACTGATGGCCATTTAGGTGGTTGCCACCTTTTGTGAATTGTAGGTAGTAATGTCATCAACACTCATGAACTCATGTTTTTTGAGTTCCTGTTTTCAGTTCTTTTGGGTATACGCCTGGGGGTGGTAGTTCTGTGTTTAATGCTTTGGGGAACCCCATCTGTGCATCTCAAACCACCCACAGCACCGTGTTTGTGCGCCCCCTGCCTCCCCGACACTTGCTGGCCCCCACCGCAGAATTAGCATCACATTAAACCAGACTCACCGAGAGGCGGGTATTTTAAACCAGGGCCCCACTCAGCACCTATTCTGGGACGGCAGGAGAGGGACGGGCCATCGGGATGCTGTGATTGCTTCTCTGGGCAGCAGGGACCTCAGATTCCACAGGTCACCCCCTCCTCCGCGCAGCCCTCCTGCTGGTTCTTTCAGCTCTCCACCTGAGAACATTTGGCTCTTTGGCCAAAAGGGCTGTTACTTTTGACCCAGTGGTCGCTGGTGGGTCTGTCTGGGAGTCAGAACCAAGCAGCACTTGTTGGGTGCTGTGTATCAGAGACCGTTTCTTAAATGCCCCGTGCCTGCTGCTCTGATTCACGAAGGTCAGACTGAAGTCAGGTCTCTGAGCAGTGGGCGTCTCACATGAGTCTGTGCCACCTGAAAAACAAGTGTGGATTGTGTTGGCCTTGTCTTTTACCTCCAGCTTTCTTTCTCCCGCGGTTTTTGCTTGAATCTGTAGCTCTGAGCAGTTGATTACCAGCAGCAGTTTACAACAACTGCAGTTTTGTAAACTGCAGCTTACTTTCATGAAAGCCTTCCCAGTATAAATGCTATTATGTCCTTCCCCCAGAAGTCTCATGCCCAGCCCCAAAAATGTGAATTATAAGTGGTAAAGATAATGTGGAAGTCACACAGTGGGGGGAGGTGGTTCTTTGCCTGGGATTGCACCTAATGTTTAAGCACCCCATAATGGACCACACTTCCATGTGGTTTCCAAAGTGGGCTGAGTTACGAGCTAGAAAACAGATAATTTTTAATGCACTCACCTTCCTGTTGCTTAACCAAAAGTGAAATCTTTAAGGAGACAGCTTATTAGGCCTTGTGATTTTATCAGCTGATGTAAAATAAAAAGGAAATGTACTCGAATATCAGGGGGCATGGTAGAAGCCTCCCTTGGATTTACTGAGAAAGATGTGTGGGAAACTCACGTATCTCTGTTGATGTCACCCTCAAAGTCCCTGTAACACAGAGAATATGTGTGTTGTAATAGTAAACCATTATATTGCACAAAAAGAAATTGAGGTACGGTGGTGGATCTCATCTACCTTAGATGATTGGATAAGGGGGAGTAGAAGCCGCAGCTGGGGTGGCCACGTATAGCCGTGCGGGCTGCACACTGCACAACTCGAGGCAGGGCTTGCTGCCTGGGTGTCCAGGGTCCCCTCAAGTCATGCAACTTGGCCATCTGGCTGAGCTCCTGTTTCCAGTTCTGTGTGCTGCCTTTCAGCCTAGTTGTCCTATTTTTGAGATGTGGATGTCCTGGAGTAGGCGGGCCCCGATCCAAGATGATCAGTGTCGTCCTAAGAGGACAGGTGCTGAGACTCAAAGGCACTCAGGGAGAAGCTGCGTAGCCAGCTCCTGGAACACACCATGCTCCAGAAACTCCTAAGTTTCTGGAACTTTGAGACCCACATGCTTAGGTTCCGTGGCCAGCATGGATCATGCAGGGCTGGTGCTGCTTTTCTTGCTGGAAGGGCGTCTGAGGCTGACTGGGTGGATGTGCGCCTTATTCTGGGAGAGGCTGACCAGGAACTGAGACCCATGAGAGCTGCCTAGGGAAAGGGGGCTCATCCCCGGATGGCAAACCATATCTCTTTGAGAAGGGAGAGGTTTCACCCGAGGTCACTGATTCCAGAAGGACTCTTGTACCCCACCCTGGAACAGACTCCTGGCCCAGACAGGGAGCTCCACACCTTAAGACAGGAGATGTGGGGCCGTCGGTGGCCGGGCAGCGGCCTCCTGGTATCTGTACTGTAGGAGCCACAGGGTCGGGGAGCAGGAGCCTGGCCAGGTGCTGTGGTCAGGAGGACACCCCCAGAAGAGCAGAAGCGGGTGTTCACAGGAGGGGCCCTGGGGCTTGAGTGTTGGCTGCTATCTTCATTTTCTGGGGCCCCTGTCACAAAGTACCGCGGACCAGGTGGCTCAGACAATTCTCTCCCAGTCTGGCACTTAGAAGTCTGAAGTCAAGGCGTGGGCAGGGCTGGGCCCTCTCTGAAGTCTGAAGGGCTGGGCCCTCCCTGTTTTTTCCTAGCTGTTGGGGGTCCAGGTGTCCCTTGGCTGGTAGACAGCCACTCCAGCAGCTGCCTCTGTGGCTACGTGGCTTCTCCCTGCGTGCCTTTGAGTCTCAGCATCTGTCCTCTTAGGAGGACACCGGTCATCTTCGATTGGGGCCTGCCTACTCCACGACATCTGCATCTTAATTCCATTGGCGCCAGCCCTTTGTCTAAACGAGGCCATGTTCTGAGATTCTGGGAGGCAGAACTTGAAGGGTCACCATGCAGCCCAGCACAACTAGTTTGGGGAACTAACTTAAGGCTGGGGGCTCCTCATCCTTGTCCACCTGCAGCCCACCCTGTGATGTGTCCTCCCCACTCCATGAGTGACACAGGTGCACCTGCTGAGGGCAGTGGCAGAGAAAACGCTGATGCCTTCTGTGCTTTCTCTCTTGACAGCCCAACATCGGCTACCTGGGCTTGCCCCACAGGCTGTCCAGGGAGAAGATGGCTGTGTTGACGGTGCGGTGGGTGACTCTGTTACAGCTGTGGCTGTGTGCTTCGGGAAAGGACATCGGGAACTACAGCTGCGCTGCCCAGGACACTCAGACTGGCTCCAAGAAGTGAGCATCTGAGGAGGGGAGGCCCTGGGGGTCCGCGCCCCCTAACGTGCTCATCCTGCAGACTTCCCAGAGCAGGGCCCCATGTAGGTACTCTGGGTGCAGTGCCCTAGCAATCTCAGTCCAGGCTGGAGTCAGACTCCCTCTCCATGGTTGGGGCACCTTCCCTCTGACATGTTAGAACCTTCTAGAATAGTCTCCCTAAGTATCAAGAGTGGCCAGGCCAACCCCAGGGTTTTGATAGCTGATTTGTAGACCCAGAGACGGTCTCTGGCCCCACTTCCACGGATTTCTGGCTTTGTTCCCACAAATTCAGAGGACTCTCTGTTAAGTGAAGTGCTGTGTCACCCAGCTCGTCCCAGAGGCTTATGTGTGTGTATGTGTTTTCCTGAGATGGGGTCTCGCTCTGTTGCCCAGGCTGGACTGCAGTGGCGCGCTCCCAGCTCACTGAAGCCTTGATCAACCTCCTGGGCTCATGCCATCCTCCTGCCACAGCCTTCCGAGTAGCTGGGACCACAGGCCTACACCACCACACCCAGCTAATTTTTTAAATTTGTTGTAGAGACAAGGCCTCCCTATGTTGCCCAGGCTGGTCTTGAACTGCTGGACTCAAGCAGCCCTCTAGCCTCGGCCTCCTGAAGTGCTGGGATTATAGGCACAAGCCACTAAATCACCACAGAAGAACCTTTTTTGAAGATAATATAATAGCCCTGATACATCCTGAGCACCTGATAGGGGCTGGGGGCAGTCCCTTGCCTGGTTCATCTCATCCTGCCCAACTGGGATGGAGGCGGGATGGTGCCCTTTGCTGAGATGTAAACTGTGCCCCAGAGAGGTCACAGCGCTTGCCTGAGGTCGCACCGCTGCCTGGAGTGCCACCAGGGTTCTCATTTTCTTCTGGCCTCACTTCAGGTCCATTCCTTTTTCTGGAAGATCTCAGAGGCCAAAGTGGAGTCGAGTCCCCGCTGGCCTTGACCTGTGCCCCCCGTGCTCACATTCAGTCTATGTGTGGACCAGCCTGGGTGGACAGGACTTGGTGGTCACTGGTGAGTGTCAAACACCGAAATGGTCAGGACCGAATGCAAGTGCAAGGAAACAGGCACAGAGAGGCATACGGAGCCTGTGGCGGGACCAGATGGAGGAGCCCCCTTTTACTCTGGCCTCTGCCCACCTGCCTGCTTGGTTTCTGAACCCAGCCTGCTGTGGCCGCCTCTTGCTGCCCAGACATCACAGAGGACAGCTTTACCTCCTCAGTTCCCTGGCTCTGACCAGCCCTCTGCTCCTGGGGGGCGTCCCCAACCTGCTGGAAGACTTCCCAGTGCACAACTGACAGTTTGTGGGGGTGCGTGCGGAACCTGTCAGCTGACAGCAAAAATGTGGACGTGGCTGGATTCTTCGCCAACAATGGTACCAGAGAAGGTACGGTGGCCGCCGGGGTGTCGGGGCTGCCGCAGTGGTATCTGGCTGGATGTTGGCAGCCACACAGAGGTCACCGCTTACAGATCGCAGGGGAGCCGTCTTTTTTCTTACCAACGTGTGTGCCCGGCTGTGGGCAGCTCTGGCAGTGGAACCTGGAGTCCAGGCTCTAGATGTGCAGCTCCCAGTTTCTGCAGTTTGGAGTTGCTGTGACGCTGCGGGCCCAGCCAGCTAACCCAAGGCACACATGATCCTAGGGTCTTGCATATGTCACCTGGTGACCGGATCGGCTGCCATGATGGCCTGGAGCCCCAGCGTGTCCAAATGTGGGCAGTGTGTTCAGCACCACCTCAGTTCCCACGTTCCTGCCTCTGCCAGAGGTGTTTAGACCTGGTCTGATTTCTGTCCAGCCCCGTGTTCGTTCCATCCTGGTTTCCCACACCACGCCCGGCACAGCAGACCCTGGATGGTTCCTTTAAGTGGGGTTCCGCTGCATGCTCTGTGTTGCCAGGCTGCTTGGAGGAACTTCCATGATGGGACGTGGTGTCAGAACGGGGGCACCTGTGTCCACAAGTGGAACATGTATGTGTGTGAGTTTCCGCTCCAATTCAGTGGGAAGAACTGCGAGCAAGGTGAGTGGCTGGCATCGTCCATCCCCCGGCCATGGCGGCCTGGGAGGTATTGCTCCTTGTGTCTGGGACCACTGTGAGGAGGCTTCACGTTCTGGACCAGCAGCCTCCGGCAGCATATGCTGTGTTGACTGCGGACTCAGTGCGCTCTCCAAGAGACTGTACTCTGCAGAACCCCCACTCCTGACCCTGGGGTCCCCAGTCCCACCAGCCACTCCTGACCCAGGGCCAGCCCCACTAGCCACTGAGCCCAGGGATCCAGAACCCACCTCCTCCTGCCTCCCATCCAGCTTCAGAGCCCCTTGCCATGCCCATCTGTGGCTAGGGGCCTGCAGGTCTTCACACTTCCTAAGAAGGAGGCTCACCTTCCAGGGTGGGCTTTTGTGGAGCCCACGTGGCTGACCGGCCTGCGGGCCCATCCCCCAGCCCTGCAGCCAGGAGTCTCCAGCCTGTGTGATTTCTGGAGGCACCTGAATTCCCCGGGCCTGTGTTCGCAGCCATGCCCCACCCCCAGCTCTTCAGCGGTAACAGCGTCATTTCCTGGAGTGATCTGAACATCACCATCTCCATACACCGGTACCTCGGGCTCATGTTGCGAACTCAGAAGGAGCACAGCCTTCTGATGGAGGCTATCGGCAGCACGCCCACCTACTTTTGTCTCCAGGTGACTGGGGTCCCATGCCACCAGGGCACCTGCTAGGTGAGTGCTCAAGGGAGGGACCCAGGTGCTGGGCTTCCTGGTGCACACTCCAGCACCTGCTACTTACCTTTCCCCTGTGCCCGCCCCTGGGTTTCTCCGAAGAGGAGGAGGAGGAACATGAGCCCTTTCCTCTGGGAGGTGGAGACTGAGCGAGGGAGCATGGGGTTGGGCCAACCCCAGGGGCTGGCAGAGCTCAGCCGAGGTGCATTTTAAACGGCAGCTCCAGTCTCCCTCTAGCCCGAGGGCTTGGCTGGAGCCATGGGCATTGCAGAGCTGAGGGAGGTGCCCAACCTTCAGGGGGAAACAGCGGGCCTCACCAGTTAAAGGTGCAGCCAGGTGGAGGCCGGGCGCCCTGGCTCACGCCTGTAATCCTAGCATTTTGGGAGGCTGAGGCAGGTGGATCACCTGAGGTCAGGATTTCGAGACCAGCCTGGCCAACATGGAGAAACCCTGTCTCTACTAAAAATACAAGAAAATTAGCCGGCCGTGGTGGTGGACGCCTGTAGTCCCAGCTACTCCGGAGGTTGGGGCACGAGAATTGCTTAATCCCAGGAGGTGGAGGTTGCAGTGAGCCGAGAACATACCATTGCACTCCAGGCTGGGTGACAAGACCGAGACTTAGTCTCAAAAAAAAAAAAAAGCTGCAGCCAGGTGGTGGTTGGCATCAATGCACCATTCACTGTCTCTGGGAGCTTGGCTCAGCACAGAGATGCATAATGCCCTACTGTGTCGCCGTCTGCATGTTTTCTCTATCTTGTTGGTCTTTACTGTTTCCTTTATGTGAAACAAAAGTTTCTTTGTTGGATAAAGTTCCGAACAACTTTTAGAAGGTGATATGAATGCACTCTTTCCTCTGGTTTCTTGCATCACGCAGTTTCTGCTCACATCTTCCACGCTCCGTAGACACTTCCTGTGAGAAACAGTCATAAGCCCTGTCTTCTCTCATCAGGCTGCCCTTTTGCCACACCCTGGAGACTCCGCTGTACAAGGTAGCCACGAGGACCCTTCCTTCAAGGGAACCCCCAGCGCTCAGCTTGCCCTCTGGCCCCTCTGCCTGCACATCCCCAGGTCATTCTCATCTATAGTGACGGCGGGGCACAGACGTTCTCCTGTAAACCCTGTTGTTGTGACCCTTTTTGATCAGGGTCTAGCTCTGAAAACTCACTAGGCAATTCTCCCTCCTAAAAAGCTCCCTTTATGTCTGTTTTTTTTCTTTTGAGACGCAGTCTTGCTCTGTCACCCAGGCTGGAGTGCAATGGCTGGATCTCAGCTCACTGCAAGCTCTGCCTCCCAGGTTTACGCCATTCTCCTGCCTCAGCCTCCCGAGTAGCTGGGACTACAGGCGCCCGCCACCTTGCCCGGCTAGTTTTTTTGTATTTTTTAGTAGAGACGGGGTTTCACCATGTTAGCCAGGATGGTCTTGATCTCCTGACCTTGTGATCCGCCCATCTCAGCCTCCCAAAGTGCTGGGATTACAGGCTTGAGCCACTGCGCCCGCCCTATGTCTTTCCTTAGACCTAATTTGCCTCTCCTAGCACAGGAGTGGCCTGTGGGAGTTGTGCCTGAGCAGGGCGCTCTGTCTTTGATTTTACAGATTCCAAAACTGGGTTATTCCTTCCTTCTTCCTAGGCCTTTTTTTTTTTTTTTTTTTTTTTGCTGGAGTTTTGCTCTCGTTGCCCAGACTGGAGTGCAGTGGTTCACCCTCAACTTGCTGCAACTTCTGCCTCCCAGGTTCAAGCGATTCTCCTGCCGCAGCCTCCCGAGTAGCTGGAATTACAGGCACTCAACACCACACCTAGGTAATTTTTTGTATTTTTAGTAGAGACAGGGTTTTGCCATGTTGGTCAGGCTGGTCTTGAACTCCTAACATAAGGTGATCCACCCGCCTCAGCCTCCCAAAGTGCTGGGATTACAGGCATGACTCCTAGGCTTTTTTCCAAGTTTGTACATTGTATGTGTGTGCATGTCAGTGTGTGTATGTGCATCTCTACGTGCATGCACATTTGTGCACGTCTGTGCATGTGGCTGTATATGTATGTATGTGCAGGCATGTGATGAGACCTGGGTGCACACGGTCTCAGCAGCATTGACTTCCTTCTTGTTGTTATCACCAACCAGAGTGGGCCTGGGTCTCCCTCCCACCCTCCCTTCAGTACACGGAGATGCTGCCCTTAGGTTAGCCTCCTCTCCTGCCTTGGAGTGGGCCACAGAGGAACACTTGCCCCGTCTTCCCAGGATGATCCCCCCGACCCAGGTCCCCACAGTCGAGAAATCCCTCCCAGAGTGAGGTCTGGGCCAGCTGCGTGTCCTCTGCTGTCAGCTGTGCAGAACCACACCTTGTTGCTTTTGCTCCTTTGGGCTCTGGACCTCCTTGTGCTGCCCAACATGTCCTGGGTGCCATCCCCCATCAGGGGAGGCTGGGCTGGGATCAGAGGTGGTCAGAGGTGAGATGGATTTTACAGAGTGCCTGCTCCAAGTTTTCATTCCACACAGGGGGAACTAAGGCGTAGAGGCTCTTCACTCAGCCCCATGGTGCATTCACTGCCCATATTCCTGGAACGGCCATAGGCCGCTCTTGTCACCCCTATGGACAGCCCGTCTAGAAAGAGTTCTGTGTAGCCGAGATTGGCGTGAGGGTTGGCGGGTGGACAGAGGGGCTGTCCAGCTCATGCCCTCCCCGTCGCGAGTGCCTGGTTGGAGGGCAGTGGGGGCAGGAATGAGAGTGCTCCCCCCAGGCTGGTGGAGGTCAGGGTCTTAGCAGATCAGTGAGGGCTCAGGAGACGGGTCAGGGCTGGGGCAGGGGCTCCGGCCTGCACAGGGAGCCTTAGCTGTTACTCCCCCGTCACAGCTCCGGAGCATTTTCCGGCACAGACGGCTCGGATTGCCTGGAATCTGAGGTGTGCACCCGGGATGATTACAGCTGGCCTGTGGGCCCCTTGTTAAACTTGTAATTTCATGAGTCTCCCAGGTAGCCCTAGAAACTTGCTCTGGGCCAAAACTTGGCAAACGCGGTGCTGACCGGGGATGGTATTTTCTCTGCGGTGGTTTCACTGTCAGAACAAGTTAAATTGGCTGTTTGGAGGCAGGTGATGAATTGGGGCCTGCAGGTTGTTATTCGGCAGTGGGGTCTCTGTAGTACGGAGTGAAAAGTGTGCGTTCAGTAGGAACGGCGCTGGAAGCCACAGACTCCCGTGTTGTTGGTGTAATTATATCATGGAAAGCTCATCCAAAAATTAGGAATTTTGCCAGGGACTACAGCCAGTCTTCCCTGTGGAAGTCTGGGTGACAGGCATGGTGGCCCTGACGGGATGCTACAGACTTTAATGGACACCCAAAAGACTCTCAGGCCCAAAAGACTCCCAGGGCAGCTCCCAGAGACCGGTCAGCTGCACGTTACATGAAGGTTCTGGGGAATTCCTCCTTGGCATCATCACCTTGCAGGCCTCCCGTGGGCCTGTGAGCTCTGTAAGGCAGCAGTTTGGGTGTTTCTGAAGGGATATCCCCTGCGCTCCGACCACTCTGGCAGGACAAATAAGGCTCTATTGCCATTCCACAGCCCAAGCAATTTGGATAATTGCTCTTGGGCACCCCACATCCAACCACCTTCTCAGGTGGGATAACTTGTGATTGCTGAATGCTTCTCTAACTGAGAGCCGGGGACACGCCTAAGATAGGAGGCAGTTACCACCCATAAAAGAGGGGTTCATTCTGTGGATATGACTTGTTTCTAGACATAACGTCTTTTTTATCACTGAACTGCTCACTTTGAAGTTTTTTAAGTGAGAACAATGGAAGAGAATGGCAAAGTAAATTAATAAGCTAACTTCTATAGAACAAAAGAAAACAAAATAGAGGCCGGGCACAGTGTCTTATGCCTGTTGTAATCTCAGCACTTTGGGAGGCCTGTGATCAGGAGATCAGGAGTTCGAGACCAGCCTGGCCAACATGGGGAAATCCCGTCTCTGCTAAAAATACAAAAATTTGCCAAGTGTTTTGGTACACACTTATAATCCCAGCTACTTGGGAACCTGAGGCAGGAGAAGCATTTGAACCTGGGAGGCAGAGGTTGCAGTGAGCCGAGATCGTACCACCACTGCACTCCAGTCTGGATGACGAGCGAAACTCTACTAAATAAATAAAATAAATTAAATTAAAAAGAAACAAAAAGGAAAGGGAAAAAGGTGAAAAGTTACCTTGTATCAGCCCAGGTATAGTAGCTCATGCATGTAATCCCACCACTTTCAGAGGTTAAGGCAAGTGGATAACCTGAGGTCAGGAGTTCAAGACCAGGTTGGCCATGGTGGAGAAACCTTGTTTCTACTAAAAATGCAAAAATTAACCAGGTGGCAAAAAAAAAAAAAAATCATATCAATAGAGACCAAAAATCAAATACAGTTTTAGTTACATAACGTTTATACCTTAGACTTACGTGGTATTTAGATTTCTGAGTTAGCATGCATGTAGCTTTTTTTTGTTTTGTTTTGTTTTTTGTTTTTTGATGGCGCCTCACTTTGTCTCTCAGACTGGAGTGCAGTGGCATGATCTTGGTTCACTGCAACTTCTGCCTCCCAGGTTCAAGCGATTCTCCTCCCTAAGCCTCCCGAGTAGCTGTGATTGCAGGTGTGCGCCACCACGCTCGGCTAATTTTTGTGTTTTCAGAAGGACAGGGTTTCGCCATGTTGGCCAAACTGGCCTCCAACTCCTGACCTCAGGTGATCTGCCCGCCTCAGTCTCCCTAAGTGCTGGGATTTCAGGCATAAGCTACCACGCCCGGCCTCATTTAGCATTTTCTAGTAAATCATTTTGATTTTGTTTTTAGCATAATTGCAGGTCAAAGAACGTATACTATGTGGTTTCAGAGCTTGGAAATGTATTGAAACTTGCTTTACAGCCCAGATCTAGTCTTTCTTTTTTTGGATGAAGTCTTGCTCTGTTGCCCAGGCTGAAGTGCAATGGTGTGATCTCGGTTTACTGCAGCCTCTGTCCCCTGAGTTCAGGTGATTCTCCTGCCTCAGCCTCCTGAGTAGCTGAGATTACAGGCATCCGTGGCCAGCATGCCCAGATAATTTTTTGTATTCTGTCAGCCTTTGATCGTTTAATAAGCAAGCGTGTAATTTGTCTCTGTCATGCAACGTCCAGATCTGAACCTCGGCCCTTACCTTCTCTCCTGCCTTTAACTTCCCAACCAACAGAATGGGGAGGTCCTGCCCTTGAAGATTGTCATCTACGCCACCATGTCCTTTTCGCTGGCAGCCCTGCTGGTGGCCTTCGTCCTCCTGAGCCTGGTCTGCACGCTGCGCTCCAGCCTGCACAGCATTCACAGGCACCTCGCCGTGGTGCTTTTCCTCTCTCAGCTGGTGTTTGTGATTGGGAACAACCAAAAAGGAAACCTGGTATGGCCACTCTGTTCCCCTCCCTACTTTCTAGGCTGCACCTTCGAGTGGTTACTATAGTCCCATGTTGGCCACTCCAAGCATCCTAGTTAGTGTCTTCCTCACCACCACCACTTCCGCTTCACAGACGTTCTTTGAGGAATATGCCAGGCGACAGGCTGTGGGTGGAGACATGGAATTCACCTGCAGGCAAGTGCTTCACCACCTTGACTCTTTATTGTGAGTTGGGGGACCCTTTCTTTCTTTTTGTTTTTGAGATGGAGTCTCACTGTGTCACCTAGGCTGGAGTGCAGTGGTGCGATCTCAGCTTACTTCAACATCTGCCTCCCAGGACCAAGCGATTCTCCTGCCTCAGCCTCCCAAGTAGCTGGGATTACAGGTGTGTGCCACCACACCCAGCTAATTTTTGTGTTTTTGGTAGAGACGAGGTTTCACCATGTTGGCCAGGCTGGTCTCAAACCCCTGACCTCAGGCGATCCACCCATCTCACCCAGGCCGGTCTCAAACCTCTAACCTCAGGTGATCCACCCATCTCAGCTTCCCATAGTGCTGGGATTACAGGCGTTAGCCACTGCGCCTGGCCAATGGCCCTTTCTGAATTACGTTTGGGGAGAGCTGACCCACACTGCATCTTTAGCTGCTGAATTCCCACGGGCTTTGGGTGCATTTAACCCTTTACCTCAGTCACCGTTCACACACTCAGTAGCTGTTCACTGAATGAGCACCTGCTGTGTGGTTGGGACTGGGAACACAGCGGGGGATGGAGCAAGTGGTCCAGTTCCCTGCCTTCCCAGAGCTGGTGATCCCACAGCTGAGTATCCCTGAGGGGTGCTCCTCAGGTCAGGTGATGGCAGAGGCTGCCCTAGGAAGTGACTGTTGGGCTGAGGTGGAAAGCTGGAGATCGATCCACCGAGCAACAGGCTAGGGAGGTGCGGAGACCAGAACACACCCAAGGTGTCCGTATCTGGTGAGGAAGAGAGCTGAGAACTTTGGCTGGCACTGCCCTGCCACTGGGGTAGAGCCCAGTGAGGCACCAGTGGCCCTGGCTGACATGTAGTCCATGTATGTGTACCAAGGGCACTGGTCCTGAACAGCTCAGTGGCTTCATCCTGCCAGTGAGATACAGATAGGATCTTGCTGGTTACATAGAGGTAGAAGATAAAGTCGGATCCAGAGTCAGCCTATGTGTGGAGGTGTCTTAAAAGCGTCATAAAGGTTGACAGTAATGAGAAAGGAGATGACTGATAAATGCCAATCAGGATGAACCTAGGGGCTCTATAAAATGATCAAACTAAATTGGCTTGAAGGTAAACTGATATTTAGAGACAATGCTGCTATAAAAAGGTCCACTCACTGGGAAGATACTAACTTCTAAATTTTTATGTACCTAATAAAATGAACTCAAAACATATCTATAGAAAGCACAGACTGGGCTGGGTGTGGTGACTCACGCCCATAATCCCAGCACTTTGGGAGGCTGAGGCAGGCGGATCACGAGGTCAGGAGATCGAGACCATCCTGGCTAACACAGTGAAACCCCGTCTCTACTAAAAAAATACAAAAAAATCAGCCGTGTATGGTGGCGGGCGCCTGTAGTCCCAGTTGCTGGGGAGGCTGAGGCAGGAGAATGGCGTGAACCCGGGAGGCGGAGTTTGCAGTGAGCCGAGATTGCGCCACTGCACTCCAGCGTGGGCGACATAGTGAGACTCCATCTCAAAAAAAAAAAAAAAAAAAAAAACACTGACCTTAAACATTCCAGAGGAATTGCTAAGATTCATAATGAAAAGGTTGTCAGTGAAAATTACACATCAGGTTCCTGTCCTGCCTCTGCACCTGCCAGCCATGAGCTCCACACAGTTCAACAAGGGCCCATTGTACAGACCCTCGGCCGAGGTCAAGCAGCATCTCTTGTCCAAATTATAACCTGTAGAAGGAGGCAGAGCTCCACAGATGGATGGAGGGGACCCACCAGCCTCTGAATCAGCCCTGACTTGCAGAAGGGCCTGAAGGACGGGATTATCTTATGCACACTCATGAACAGCTACAGCCGGGCTCAGTCCCCAAGGTCAACTGCTCCATGCAAAACTGGTACCAGCTAGAAAACCTCTCCAACTTCTTGAAGGCCATGGTCAGCTACGGATGAATCCTGTGGACCTGTTTGAGACCAACAACATGTTTGACAGTGGAAGCATGATGCAGCTGCAGGTGTCTCTTCTTGCCCTGGTGGGGAACACCAAGACCAAAGGGCTGTAGAGTAGGGTGGACATTGGCCTCAAGTACTGGGAGAAGCAGGAGTGGAACTTGGACAACGCCACCATGAACGCCGGCCAGTGTGTCATCAGGCTGCAGATGGGCACCAACGAATGGGCCGGCCAGCTGGGCATGACCGCATACAGCACAAGGCAGCACCTCTACGACCCCAAGAGCCACACCCTGCCCCCCATGGACCACTCGATCATCAGCCCCCAGATAGGTACAAACAAGTGTGCCAGCCAAGTGGGCATGATGGCTCTCGGGACGTGGTGGCACATCTGTGACACAAAGCTGCAAACCTACTAGTGTGGCAACTTCTCCATGTCCCTGCATATGGGGTACACGCAGGGTGTCAACCAGAACGGCCAGCTCTCCAGCCTGGGCTGGCAGATACACGACCCCAAGTACTGTCCTCAAGGCACAGTGGCCGACAGGGCTCCCTTGTGTGCTGGCAACTGCCTGGGTCCAGGGTGGTTCCTGAATATCTTCCTTACCAGGAGGAAGCCGGCTACTGAGGCTACCAGCACATTCTCTCCCCACATCATCTCCCTGTCTGGGTTTTTAAAAATTTTTCTGTGTTTTCATTTTTTTTTTTCTTAACCTCTTCAGTGTTGCCAGTCAACTAAGCGTCTGTGAGTGGCAGCGTGGGATCAGGTAGCAGGGCTTTTTTCTCCTATGCCTGATCCTTCGCAGGACTGAGCCACCAGGCTGTGGGGGAAGGGGCAACGTGGTATCCTGGTATGGAGGGTGAGGGTCCCTGCTGGCACGTGCAGGCTGTGGGCCGAGCTGTGCTGGGGAGAAGAGACCTGGGCTTGGAGGGAACTGGTTCCCAAAGGTTTCCGCTTGCCTCACCTTTTCCCCCTTTTGTCAGCTGATCAGTTTGTGGTTTCTGTACTTGCAAAAGTTTCAGTAAGTATTAACAAAAGAAAAATACATTTTTCCCCCCAAGGAATGGGGCGGGGACAGTGGAGAGGGTGCTGGGAAATGAGTCCCCTGGGAGAGGGGGCCTGGCCATGAAGCTAAATATCTCAGGCTCCCAAGTGGCTGGATTTCCCTAGGCCCAACAGACCTTGGACCTCAGACCTGCCCTGCGGCCCAGTGGGGAGAGAGAGGCCTGTACAAAGAAGTGGAATTCTGAGTTGTTGGGGCTAAGCCTGATCCCCTCTCCATGCTAACCCCACCCCACCTCTACTGTGGCCTCAGTAGGTTTTGTTGTTGTTTTTGCCCAGGCTGGAGTGCAGTGGTGCGATCTTGGCTCACTGCACCTCCATCTCCTGGGTTCAAGCGATTCTCCTGCCTCAGTCTCTCAAGTAGCTGGGACTGCAGGTGCTCCACCATAACTGGCTAATTTTTGCATTTTTATTAGAGACAGGGTTTCACCATGTTAGCCAGGCTGGTCTTGAACTCCTGGCCTCAGGTGATCTGCCCACCTCGGCCTCCCCAAGTGCTGGGTTTATGGGTGTGAGTCATTGCGCCTGGCCCCTCAGTAGGTTTTAAGGAGCCCCTAGCTCTCCCTCTCTGGGCCTGACAAGTTATAATGCTCCATCTCCCCCAGCCACACGCTCTGCCAGGTACTGCACAGGGACACCCACCCAGGGGCTGTGCTCTATGAAATAATGTGAAATACAACTGTGGACCAAACACACTAAAAACCTATATGTAAGAAAAAAAGAAGAAAATTACAGATTGGAACTGGCAGCATGTAATAAAAGCAGAACTTAGAGGTTAATTTAAAAGGAGATAATAAAAAGCAGAAATCAATGAAATAGAAAATAAAGATCCAAGGGAAAATAAACGCATAATTTGTTTTGAAAGAAAAATCTGAGGCCGGGCTCAGTGGCTTGCGCCTGTAATCCCAGCACTGTGGGAGGCCGAGGTGGGCGGATCATGAGGTCAGGAGATTGAGACCATCCTGGCTAACACGGTGAAACCCCATCTCTACTAAAAATATAAAAAATTAGCCAGACATGGTGGTGGGCGCCTGTAGTCCCAGCTACTCAGAAGGCTGAGGCAGGAGAATGGCGTGAACCCGTGAAGTGGAGCTTGCAGTGAGCCAAGATCGTACCACTGCACTCCAGCCTGGGCGACAGAGTGAGACTCCTTCTCAAAAAAGAAAAAAAGAAAAATCTGAGACTGAAAAAAAAACAAAAGCACAAATAAGCCGTGCTCGGGATGAGAAAAGAAGACACACACTGTCTTTTGCAGGGACATGGATGAAGCTGGAAGCTGTTAATCCTCCGCAAATTAATGCAGAAACAGAAAACCAAACTGCCTCTTTTCACTTAAAAGTGGGAGCTGAATGATGAGAACACATGGACACATGGTGGGGAAACAATACACACTGGGGCTTGTCATGGGGGGTGGGCGGAGGGAAAGCATCAGGAAGAATAGCTAATGGATGCTGGGCTAAATATCTAGGGTGGTGGGTTGGTCTGTGCAGCAAATCACTGTGGCACACGTTTATGTGAAAAACCTGCACACAAACCTGCACATAAACCCCGGAACTTAAAAGTTGAAGAAGAAAATCAAAACAAAATATAGTTTCCTTTAATTCTTTGAATATGTTTAAAGCAGGTCATACAGTTTTTTTCTAGTAAATATGCAGTGTCTGGACTTCCTCAGGGACAGTGTCTGTTGGTTGCATTTGTTGTTGTGTAGCAGCCAGTGATGGGGAGCCGAGAACACCCCCAGGTTCAGTGATTCTCTAGGAGGACCCGCCGGACTTAGTGTGTAGTCATACACATTGC